TGGCGAAATAACAATGAATCTAGTGACAAATTCCCATTTCCCCCCACTCTTTCATCTAAACGGACTATGGTGTTAAAGTCTCCCCCAACAAATAAAGGTCCATCGATTCCTTGAATCTCATCATGCAGAGTAGCCCATAAGCCATTCCTCCTACTCACTGATGGGGCCGCATAAACCGCAATTATATGCATTATCTCCGACCCATTCTCCACCCGAGCGTGAATGTATTGCTCCGAGGTCCCAACAATCATCACATTACCTACTTCTGATCTCCACAACAACCAAAGACCACCCCTCTGCCCATTAGCGTCAATTCTAAAAACGTTAGAAAACCCCAAACTTTGACAAATTCGACTTGCACTATCGCCTCCTGCGTGCGTTTCAAAAATTGCTAGTATATCAGTCTGGAACCTCTTCAGCATATACCTTATTGATCTGCGAAATTGGGTTTATTTGCCCCCCGGCAATTCCAAAATAACAGGTTCGTCATCACTACACTTATCAAGCTTTGAATTACCGGGGAACCCCGTCATGCTTTCTGGTGGACTTCCCCCCCCCCCCTCATCAGGGGCGCCACTTCGCATTTCCACTTCTCTCGGGCTTTCTTCCTCTGCATTTTCAATGGGACCCAGAGAATCGCTCCCCAACTCCATTTGGTTTTTCCCATCTCCTGCTGAACTCACTTCTCTACTACCCGTGAAAACCCCCCCTTCGCGACCAACAGGATTGTTCTCAACTCTTAGCCGTTTCCCATTCGTTGTTAAAGTTTGTTCTTCAGAGGCACGACCGAAGACAAGTCCCCTAACAGGCCTGTTGGATCTTTTCTGCTGCGCTTTAGGCCCATTTACCACACCCTTTGTACCATTCCTACTCGCTTGGGCTTTATTTTCCTTACTTCCCTCCTCTCGGCCCACATGGCCCTGGCCAAAAACCACCTTTTCCCGCGCATCACTCCCTTGAATAGGACCCTTTCCTTTCCGAGACTGTATCATTCGAAATTCATTTTCCTTATTTGCACCAGATCCAGTAATATCCTCCGAAGATATCTCCTCAATCTCCAAACTCCCGAATTTATTGGAAACGTCAATATTCACCGAATCTGGCCGAATAATTTCCCTGAGATTACGGCCGAGATTTCCTCCCGATTTTCCTGTCGCAACCACCACCTTGCTCTGCGGCGGCGCTACTCTCCTTCCGTCCCTTTTCACCGCCGTAAAGCCCTCACTTCCCTGCACATGCTCCCTTGGCACTGTCTCATCATTTCACACTGTTTGCATAGTCACCTCCTTCTCCAATGTGACTTTAGGACAGGAATGAATCAAATGTCCATAAACTCCGCACCCTGAACAAATATTAGTCAGTCCCTCATAGGCGACGAAGTATCTCTCCCCGTTAATGAGGATTGAACCTTTCAATGGCTTCCGTAAATCCACCTCCACACAAATTCTAGCAAACCGAGCCCTTTCAAAATTCAATGTGGTCAAATCAACTTTGATAGGCTTCCCTAACCCTCGTGCAATCCTCAGCAGGATCGATTGGTGATAAAAATTCACCGGTATATTGGATATTCGCACCCATACTGGCGTTGTAACGATATCATTCTTCAGCGGATCAAAATCCGGAGCCCAAGCTTTCACCAACAGATAACTTCCGAATACCCTCCATGGACCTCCGGTCAATGCTGCTAGGTACTCTTCCTCCTTCTCAAAACGCACCATAAAGAATTGCCTCGGGAGATCCATGACATACATAGCCCCACTAGGCTTCCATAGCTCCCTTAGCCTTCGACTTAACATCGCTATCGAAATATGCCTCCCCAATACTTTTACGATCATACAGCGTTTCCACAATCCATTCATAAACATCCAGCACCTCCTTCCCAATAGTTATTACTGGCTCCCCATCCTCCCCATCCGGGAAAGCCAAATCCATCCTCGACTCAACAAACTCGTCATCCAATATTGTCTCCGGCGACAACCTCCCCCCCACATTGCTCCCCACTACTTTTTCTGCCCATGAACCTCCCTTATCAGGCGGTTCTCCCAGAGGACTCTCCCTTCCACACATATCCACCATCGTAGCATCCTGCACCAAAACCCTCGAGCCGCCTAAATCGCCCTCCTCCATCTGCCCCTTCTTCATACCACAGGTATATTAATCTTCTTTAATATACTTTAGATAATAATAATTAAATTACTAAAAAATAATTAAAATAGTTTAAAAAAAAAACTAATCACCTATTTCGAGCACAGCTTTCTCTCCGTCTCCGATTTTTTTTAGCACAGCTCCTCTCTCCTCCGTCTCAGATTCCTCTCCGTTTAGAAAAGCTCTAAATTTCACTCTGCAAACCCTAATTTCCGATGTCAATTGAAAGAGATCATGCGACGCAGCAACAGCCGCCTAACTCCAGCACTCTCGTCGCGCACCCATCCGGAAGTAACGACGGAGAAGGCGACCGCCACGTCTCCGCCGGAGAGGTCTCCTATGACCGACCCTCGTTTGCTCGCTCGGATGGGCACAATGGTGACAATGATTCGTATCTCTTCCGTCACTATTATATTCCAGTTTCTTTCTTTCTGCTGAGTTTCTTCTCTAAAAATTACAGATGGGAAGCCTAATTTCGCCAAAGAGCTTTACAAAGAAAGTTTGCAGCTTTCAAAACCTGGTGAGAATCTTACTTCATAGGTTATACGCAATTGAATTCAATTTAAGTTTTGTCTCTTGCTTGTTTTGATTTTCTTATTCCAATGGTCTTACTTTACTAAGATAATACTTAATCTTGGTGTTTGCTGGGGTTTTTAGGATTTAGAGTAGGATTAACTTAAATGCATTGCTGATGTTTGATTTCCACAGAATCATTGTTTGGTTTAGGTAATGATGATCACATTCTCGAGAATTTTGAAAGATAATACTTTAGAAAGTAGGAATAGATGATCACAGTCTTTAGAATTTAGTAAGATAATACTTTAGAAATTAGGTAACGATGATCATACTATCATAGTTTACTAAGACAATACTTAATCTTTGTTGTTGCTGGGTTATTTAGGATTTAGAGCAGTAACTTAAATGCATTGCTAATGTTTGATTTCCACAGAATCATCGTTTGGTTTAGGTAATGATGATCACAGTCTTGAGGATTTAGATGGGTCCTTTTTCGGGAGTTCAGATGAAGAATCAAGTGAAGCTTACTCTATGAACAAGGACTCTGAGAAGAGACTTGAGCAATTTCGCATGGTATCCGTTCTAAATTGATTAGTTTCTAATGGCCTATTCACTATGAAAATGCTTTAAACCACTTTTCATCAACATTTATGTATGATTGGCATTTCTGCTGATTCAATATCATAGGCTGGATACCGTGATGGGATTACTGCTGGGAAAGAAGCTGCTGCGCAAGAAGGTTATAATGTAGGCTACAAGGAATCAGTTCTTGCTGGCTACAAGTTTGGTTTTGTTAGAGGTGTTTCCAGGTAAATTACTAGATTAGCTTTGTGCTCCTGTGATGTGGTTACACAGATTGTACATATCGATTAGTAGTCTAATACATATTCTTGTTTTGACAAATTTTTGAAGTGCGTTGGCTTTCCTCCCTGATGAGCTAAGAGAAAAGCTTATCGATGAACAAGAAACTAAAGAGAAGTTTCAGAAATTACACGACTCTGTGCATGCTCTCTCGACAGAAGCTGCAATGAAACTGTTTTATGGAACGCTGACTAGAAAGCAAAGGGAAGAGAAGAGTGGAGAAGAAGGGTCTGAGTCTGGTCCCGGTTCTGGTTCTGTTTCAGGTTCTGGTGTTTATGCCACAACCGACTTGGGAAGCTATGTTACTGAAGTAAGCTCTCTTCTTGACAAATCACCTAAGATTGAAGCTAAATTGAACACATAGAGGAAGAGAAGAGTGGAGAAGAAGGGTTTGACTCTAGTTCCGGGTTATAGCCACAACTGACTTGGGAGTTGAGAAGCTATGTTACTGAGCTAAGCTCGTAAGATAGACCTGAAGCCATGAACATCACAGCGAAGCTCTCATCAGATCTGTCTATGTTCATGCATGAACATCACAACCATTAAGTGATTAAGTTACACCTAACAATTTCATAGTAAGTTTGTATTATTTTTTGTTGGAAATAAAGATGATCGTTTTTTTTGGATGAAAAGCGATGAAATGATGGAGAATACAACTAACTCACTCGCTAAAATGAATTAGGGAATGAAATTTTACTCTATATAAATACCCAAGAGAGCTTTTAATTTCGTTTTCAAATAATCAAATTACGCTCGCTTTCCGTTATTTCGCTCCTGATTAACTTCACACGACGATGGTTGTAATCTCTGAAATTCCCGACGACGGCGATCCAAACAAGAAGCCGCAAGAAGAAGAGGTACAACATAATCTTCCGACTTCTTTCGCCGAGATTCCAAACGATATCATCGAAACCTGCATCGCAACAAGAGTCCGGAGATGCCATTACCCGGAACTATCACGCACCTCAAGGTTCTTTCATGGTCTCATGAAAGAAACGAGACTCTACGAAAAGCGCTCAAGCCTCGGCCTCGCCGAATCGGTTCTCTACGCCTTAATTCGATCCCCTCCTCACGATCCCCCGAGCTGGTACATCCTCCATGGTAACAACAACTCTCGGCGGTTGTGCAGAATCAATCTTGATCGCGCCATGCCTCTCGGATGCGCCGTCGTCACAATCGGACCGGAGATTTACGTAATCGGCGGATCCGTCGGCCAGAACATGCGCACATCGGGCGTGTTTCTCATCGATTGCAGGTTTCACAGGTCTTGCTCTCTTCCGAGCATGCGAATGGATCGCTACGGCGCAGCCGCCGGGGTAATCGACGGGAAGATATACGTGATCGGAGGCTGCGAGGATCGACCTTTGCCTTATGATTGTGTCGAAGTGTTTGATGTAAAGACTCAAGTTTGGGAAATGTGTGGCTTGAATTTAGCGTCAGAGACCAAGTTTGTGGCGTATGTGGTGATGGAAGAGAAGATCTACGTTTTGGATGCTCAAAAATGTTTTGCTTTCGAACCCAGAGAACGTAAATGGCAACATTGGTTGAAGAGACCCTGGTATAGGCCATGCTGTGTGGTGGATGATTTGTTGTATACCATGCTTGGACATTTCTTGTTCGTGTATGACCCAAAGGAGAACAGTCTGAGACGTGTGAGAGGTTTAGATGGCTTGCCTATTCTGTATGACCCAAAGAAGAAGAGTTGGAGACCTGCGGGAGCTGTAGATGGCTTGCCTTGTCTGGTTTATAATGAGTCTGAAATGGCGAATCTCGGTGGGAAGTTGGTGATTTTGGGTACTAGTGAACAGGATCTTTGGATTGAAGCAGAGAAGGAAGCAGTGAAGGAAGCACACCTTTGGTGCGTAGAGATCGCATTGGAAAGACGTGAAGATGGCGAGGTTTGGGGGAATGTCGAATCGGCGACGCTTGTGCTTACATCTGACATATCCCCTTCCATTGAGCTTTGTCGAACAGTTACCATTTGATGGTTTCTTACAGGTATGCTTCTGTGATGATGAGTATGTACTATTATGATGATGTTTCAGGCATTTTCTTTAGTCACCTAGGCTTAGTTGTGTTTGTTTTGTTCCTGAAAACTTGCAGGTGAAAGGATCTTTACTACATTCACCATTTGAGCAGCTTGTTGATCTTGACACCTCATGAGTAACTCGTCCTCTTGTTAACCTTTGTGTACAGTTTAAATACTATTTTACAAAATTAGCATGTGAGTAGATTTGAGGCCATTGCCTTTATACAATATTCTTGCAAAACTTGTTGAAATGTATCTTTGTTTAGCTATCTTTTGAGGGGGGTTTTGTGGGTGTTTCGTTCATACTAGCCGTTGTAAAAACTCTTCTTGATGATTTTTATTTTTCACATATCATATTACTTAACATTAAATGTTTTTTAACCAAATATAATATTATTTATCATATTATGTAATATTAATCTAGTTATATATACAATATTATAACCAAACACTTTTTGGTTATATTCTTAACTCCGAAGCATCCTTTTAGAGGAGGAATTCTAAAAAAAGTAAAAAAAAATAAAAATGTTGAACAGTAAACTATTTTATATAAGAAAAAGAACATTATCGTTTTTGTTGATGAAAATACAAGTGAAGAAAAACAACATTATCATTTTTCTATAAGTGATAATATGCCAGAAGAAGATTTAAGAAGGTGAAAAACTATACTTAAAAGAAATTTTGTGTGTTTTTTTTTTCTTCTGAAAATAAGGATGATCGTTTTCTAAAATGAGAAACGATGAAATGATGGAGAATAAAACGCACTCACTCGCTAAAATGAAATTACGGAATTAATTTTTACTCTCTATAAATACCCAAGAGAGCTTTTTTATTTCGTTTTCAAAAAAATCAAATTACGCTCGCTTTCCGTTATTTCGCTGCTGACTGACTTTCACACGACGATGGTTGAAATCACTGAAATTCCCGACGAATCTAACGGCGGCGACCCAAACAAGAAGCCGGAAAATCTCGAGAAGAAACCGCAAGATGAAGAAGCTCATCACCCCGAAGAACCAGAAGAAGACGACAAAGAAGCGAATCAAAACGAGAAACCAAAAGTAGAAGAAGACGAACAAGTAAAGAATCAGAACGAGAAACCGCAAGAACATAATCTTGGGATTTCTTTAACTGACCTTCCAGACGATATCATCGAAAGCATCCTCGCAAAAACCCGGAGAAGCAATTACCCGACGCTACAAGTCGTCTCAAGGATCTTGGACGTTTTCATCTCTTCTCCGAGACTCTACGAAACGCGCTTAACACGTGGCCTCGACGAATCGGTTCTCTACGCCTTAATCGGATTCCCTCCTCACGATCCCCCGAGCTGGTACATCCTCCATCGTGTGAACAAGATCTCGCGATTGTGCAGAATCGGTTGTTCGCTTCCTCCGATACCTTTTGGATCCGCCGTCGTCACAATCGGACCGGAGATTTACGTAATCGGCGGATCTTATGGGCAGTACATACACACTTCGGGCGTGATTGTCATCGATTGCAGGTCCCACAAGCATCGCTGGCTCCAGAATATGCGACGGGTTCGCTACTGCGCAGCCGCGGGAGTAATCGACGGGAAGATATACGTGATCGGAGGCTGCGAGAAGCGATATCAGGATTGGGATTGGATCGAAGTGTTTGATTTAGAGACTCAGGTTTGGGATACTGTGCGTGGTCCGTACCCTTACGCTAGCTGGAATTGGAAAAAAGGTTATGTGCCAGGGTCGTCCGAGTTTGTGACGCATGTGGTGATGAACGAAAAGATTTACGTTAAGGATCCTGCAGGTTGTTTTGTTTACGAACCCAGGGAACGTAAATGGTTTTGGGAAAACCAAGCAGGGAGTTTATGGCTCAGGCCTTGCTGTGTGGTGGATGATTTGTTGTATTCCATTGATTGTCTGCGTACGCTTGGACATTTACTGGTCGTGTATGATCCAAAAGAGAAGATTTGGGGACCTGTGAGTGGATTAGACGATGGCTTGCCTAATCTGTTTTATAATGTGTCTAGTGTGGCGAATCGCGGTGGAAAGTTGGTGATTTTGGGTGCTAGTCAGTATATTGATAGTTGGAGTTGGCCACGGGCAGAAATTTGGTGCGTAGAGATTTCTTTGAAAAGGCGTGAATATGGCGAGGTTTGGGGGAAGGTCGAATCATTGAAGCGTGTGCTTACACCCAACTTGTTCCCTGCCATTGAGCTTTGTCGATTTGTTACCATATGATGGTTTCTTGCAGGTGTGCTTTCTGGTGATGAATATGGACTATTAATAATGATGTTTTCAGTGCAATTTTCTTTAGTCTCAATGCTTAGTTTTGTCTTTTTTAATGAAAACTTGCAGGTCAAGGATCTTTATTGCATTTACCATTTGAGCAGCTTGTTGATCGTGACACCTCAAGAGTTACTTTGTGCACAGTGTGAATAGTCTTTTACAAACTTTAGCCCTGGAGTAGGTTTCTTAATCTCTAAAAAGGGAGAGGCCATTGCCTTTATACAATATTCTTACTAAAACTTGTCGAAATGCGTTTTTTGTTAGCTATCTTTTGGGGGATTTTGTGCAATTACGGTAACTTCTTTCTGTACAGTGTGAATACTCTTTTGTTAACTTCAGTTTACTTCTTTGTGCACAGTGTGAATACTCTGTTGTTAACTTCCTTCCTGTACGTAATCCATAAATCTGATATTACATAACCCAAGTTTGCTTCTAATATATGAGGCTATGATCAAAATATGAAATCTATGAGATGATGCAAAACAAACCAGTTTAGTTAACCGGTGGTTTAGGTTTTGACCTTATGGGGTAAACTACAACATCAAATTGACAAAAATAGAAACACCAGAAGCTATTTATAAAGTGCTAGATGACTAAATCTGCAGAACAATATATAACTATATGAGATCGATCCTCTCAATAGAAGAAAGAAAACCCTTTAGGGGCTCGGGTGGATTCTTCGGAACAACAATGGATTCTTCTTAGAATGTGGTATGGGCACACACAGGAAGAGGAAGAATGCACAACTTTGCTATGGGAAATGCAAGCATCTTGGTCACTTTTTAAATAAAAGATAGAAGTTGACAATAAGAACTTAAACCACATCATCAATGGCAATATCATCAATCTAAACCTTCAACAATACATTGTAGGCTTGTAGCTATTCGAAACTGGAGCTATATGTTGGATGAGATCAATAGCAAGAAAAGCTATTGTTGATTTGCATCCTTAGACTTTTTTTTATCACTGTTTGCAATCTATCTGTATATTCAAGACAAATCTAATAAACTATATAAGAATCCAACTATATATAAAAATTATTATCTCAGCAGAACAATAAACAAGGAAATCTTCAACAATTCAAACCCTAGTAATCATGACATTTCTCCTTAATTACGATTCCAATATCATTCGCAGCACCAACAAAACTCCAAGAAAGTTTTACACCGTACCATTTTCAAACCCTCCGACCCAAAGTTCCCAATCACATCACATACACGCAACAAAAACACTAGCTTCCTCACCATACATCCATAACCTTCGTTACTTCAACGGCACTTAACCAGTCGCGATCGTTGACGCGGCTCACTGTACTCATATCCAAGCCATGATCAATCCCTAGTGGAGGCCATGACTACGATGGTCTTATCCACCGTCGATTGAGTCGTTCTTGGCATGTTTAATCGACGATCAATCCAAAACTCGACACTGCGTGGGTCCAATCCGAATTCAAAATTTGACAACATCGCCAACAAAAGCAACCACTTATGTGGATTTCCTGCCCTGATCTAGGCGCCAGGGGAATTTAGCGGCGGAACCAATCCGATTAAAAGAAAATCTGATTACGTGCAAAAACCAATCTTCAATTCTGGTTTAGCTTCAATATTCAAGATTTTGATAGAGAACGAGAACGTGTGGCTTATTGGAACCATTACGGTGGGAGGATGAGCGAGATTACGGCTATAAAAACTGTGTTTCCTCACCGAGCAGGGAAAATATTCAAGATTAAGTACTCGTCTAGCGATTGCTTGAGTCAGATGGAAAGAGTATTCGAGGAAATGAGCCCTTACGTGTCGAAAAATTCAAGAGAGGCGTTTTGAACTATGGAGACGTTGACATTGGTAAGAATTTGAACTCCACGTATGAGGAAGGTAAAGTGTACAGAGTTAAGTATTTTAAGAATAACTTTGAGAGATTGGTTCAAGTGAAGACTACAGTTGATCCAGATAATTCCAGTGCACTCCGACCATTAGACTATTTATAATGGTGATTTGAATAAAATAATGATACAATGGTTTGTTGAAAACAGAAAAAGCTGAGTTGGATTAAAATCTGTTAAATGTTATAAAATTATATGATATTATATATATGAGATGAGATATATTTGTGTATATGTTATATAGCTATATGTATTTGAGAGAATAAATGACGAGAAAGAAAAAGAGGAGATGAAGAGGAGGAACGTGAGATTTGTGTTAGTATATATATATATATATGTATATAAGAGTAAAAGACGAGCGAGAGATGAGAGAAGAGAGAGAATGATTTTTTCTTATTCACTTCTCTATATTAATTATATTAATTAAGATAGCAAATTATCACATTTATATAAGATAGTAAGTCGGCTAAAGTTTAAGGCAGTAGATGATATAAGACTCGGGTAAGGCTTATAAGATTGTAAAATCGATGTTTGGTGGGATCAACACGCTGTCTTTCACGCTTTCTCGTGTGGATCAGTGGATGGAGATGGTAAGACAAGACTTGTTTTCACAAGGCTTGAATCGAGATGGGATCTGTCAAGCTGACTTTGACGCTTTCTTTTGAAGGATTGGTGAATGGTTGTGAAGTGGATCGAAGGCACCACAGAGATGATGTGAAGATCTCTGATACTGCAAAATTTTCTCTCGGTGAATCACACACGCAAAAACACAAGCAAAGACTCTCAAGCACAAACTAAGAGGAAAACAGCATTATTTTATTGATAGGGTAAAAAATGTGTCTACAACAGCTGCATGTAGGACTTGATTAATAGTCCATCAGCTTTGAACCTTCTAGGGTTTGACTCAATAAAAGAAAACGGCATAATAAACTGAAGACAACATGACTTGTAAAAAGTAAATAAGAAAAATGGCAAGACGTCTCATTTGGACAAAAAATGGAAAGTTCACTTAAACTAAAAAGAAAATAAACTAACTACGTGCAACCTTTCCTGGACTTGAAACGATGATCTCTGAGGCTCTCTAGCATGTTAGACACCACTAGGACACTTCCATGTTACCTGCACAAATCGTATAAATTGAAAATACCTGGTTATGGCCGGTTATGAGCTTGCTTGTTGTGGGGTTGAGTCGCGTTCCAGTCCATGCAGCTCATTAGTCTTGATGTTTTCTTCATCTTGAGTTCTGCTAACGTCATGTCTCGTGAATTCTTAAAGTATCTTCTTGTGTCCAGCTTCATGTCCTTCCTCTTGTTCCATTTGCTCGCTATCGGCTTCATGTCTTGATATTGTTGTATCTTGAAGCTCTGAGGCGGTCTCTTCGAGATTCTTGGTGTTCCAAGCTCAATTTCCTGCCAAATAAACATGTATACCTTGCTTGGGTCGAGGCTGGTCTTCTTTGAGGCTCAAACGCGCGAAGCCTTCCATTTTGTCTTGTTCGGGTGCTTTGGGGCTGTCTCGCATGTTGTACTCTTGTGAACCGGTTTTAAATGCATCTCCAAGCTCCATGGTGTTTAGTAAAGCTTCTACGGCCAAGTCGAACCGTTCCCTCAGCTTCCTTGTTTTGGAACGAGTCATTGGTGCTTCTTTGAGCACAGGAACAAGTGTTTGGTTTGATTCTGGTTCGATGACCTCATCATTCCCTCCCTCTTCAAGAGGTTTTGTCCTCAAAACTGTGTCACCTGCATCATAAGGAGACAAATCAGCAACATTAAAATGATGTGAGATATTAAACTCACCTGGAAGTTCCAATCGGTTTGCATTGTCATTGATCTTTTCTAGAACTTTGAAAGGCCCATCTCCTCAGGGTGCAAGCTTTGAACTCCTTTGTTGTGGGAATCTTTCTGGTCTCATGTGTACCCAAACCCACTATCCTGGTTCGAATACAAGCATTTTGCGTCCTTTGTTAGCTCTCTTTTTGTATTCCTCCGTTTTCTTCACTATGTTATCTCGGACCTTCTAATGTATCTTTTTCACAAACTCCCCTTTCTTAAGACCATCTAAGTTGACTTGTTCAGCTTGTGGGATCGGTGAAAGATCCAAGGGCGTTAATGGATTAAAACCATACACAACTTCAGAAGGAAACATCTTAGTAGCCGAGTGAGGAGCATGATTATAAGCGAATTCAATAAAAGGCAAATGATCTAACCATGTTTTTAAATTTTGACCAAGAGTGACCCTAAGTAAAGTAGATAATGTACGGTTTACCACTTCAGTTTGTCCATCCGTTTGAGGATAACAAGTTGTAGAGAACAGAAACTTGGTGCCAAACTTTCTCCAAAGGGTTCTCCAAAAGTGACTTAAGAACTTAGAGTCTCGGTCAGAGACAATGATTCTCGGCACTCCATGTAGTCTTATTACCTCTTTGAAGAACAAGTCTGCGGTTTGTGTGACGTCATTGGACTTGTCACATGATATGAAATGCACCATTTTTGAAAAAAGATACACAACAACAAAGATCGAGTCCTTGTGTCTGATCTTGGGCAAACCTAGTACGAAATCCATAGAGATATCCACCCATGGTGCATTACAAATAGGTAAAGGTAAGTATAAGCCATGAGGATGTAACCTGGACTTGGCCTTGTGGCAAGTAACACAGCGTGAACAATGTCTCTCCACATCTTTCTTGAGGTGCGGCCAAAAGAAGTGATCAGCTATTACTGCCAATGTCTTGTCCACTCCAAAATGAACCATGAGACCTCCACTGTGTGCTTCCTTCAGCAATAGCTCCCTTAAAGACCCTTGAGGAACACATAGCTTCTTGTCTCGGAATAGAAACCCATTGTGCAAGTGGTATGAGCTAAAAGCTCCTTTGCCATACCCTTGATAAGCTTCTCCGAACTCTGGATCATCTTTGTATAGCTTCTTGATGTGCTCAAACCCAAGTACCTTTGCCTCCATAGTAGAGATCAATGCATGTCTTCTTGAGAGTGCATCGGCCACTACATTTTCTTGCCCCTTCTTGTACTTGATCACATAAGGGAAGGTCTCTATAAACTCTAGCCACTTAGCATGGCGTCTCTTAAGCGTGGTCTGTCCTCTTAAGTGCTTCAAGGTCTCGTGATCGGTATGGATAATGAATTCCTTGGACAACAAGTAATGTTGCCAAGTCTCCAATGCTCGGACCAGGGCATTAACTCCTTGTCATAGATAGGATAGTATAGTGTGGCTTCACTGAGATTTTCACTAAAGAATGCCACTGGTTTCTTTCTTTGATGTAGCACAGCTCCAATTCCCACTCTTGATGAATTGCACTCCACCTGAAACATCTCCTCAAAATCGGGTAGGACTAGAACAAGTGCTTGTGTTAAACGTTTCTTCATGGCTTCAAATGCTGCATCTTGAGCTGGACCCCATGAGAATAACATGTTTTTCTTGATCATCGCGGTGAGTGGGGCTGCCACCGTGCTGAAATCTAGCACGAAACGTCTATAGAAGCTGGCCAATCCATGAAAACTCCTGACATGACCGATTGTAGTTGGTGTAGGTCACTCTCGTATGGCCTTGATCTTCTCCTCGTCTACTTGTAGTCCCTGTTCACTTACTACAAAGCCTAAGAAAACAAGCCGGTTAGTACAAAATGTGCACTTCTTAAGGTTAGCATATAAGCCTTCTTGCGAAGTGTTTTGAGCACTAGTTCGAGGTGTTGAAGATGATCATTAAGGTTCTTACTATATATAAGTATATCATCAAAATAAACAACTACAAATTTAATTATATAAGCTCAAAGAACCTGGTTCATAAGGCGCATGAAGGTGCTTGGTGCATTAGTTAAGCCAAAAGGCATAGCTAACCACTCATACAAACCTTGTTTGGTCTTAAACGCGGTTTTCCACTCGTCTCCTTCACGCATTCAAACTTGGTGGTATCCGCTCTTTAAGTACACTTTTGAGAAGATTGTGGATCCACTCAACTCGTCCAACATTCTCCATGTGCCATCTTTCTTTGGCACTAAGAGAACTGGCACAGCACAAGGACTGAGGCTCTCACGGATATAGGCTTTGTCCATTAAGTCTCGCACTTGTCTCTCCAAATCCTTAGTCTCCTCGGGATTCATTCTATAAACTGGCTTATTGAGCAATGCTGATCCGGGAACTAAGTCAATTTGGTGCTCTATTCTACGAAGTGGTGGTAAGCCTGGATGTATCTCTTTGGGAAACACGTCTCTAAACTTATTCAGTATAGCTTGCACTTCGGGTGGGAGCTCAGAGTTACTCATGCCTGTGCTCAAACACTCTTTAAAAATCATTAATAGCACGGTGCCATTGGAACTCATGGTTTTACAAATATCACTAGATGATAAATAAAGATTGTTTCTACTTATCTCGGCCTCTTTGTTCATATGCACTTGCATTTCATGTACCTCGGTGGGGCTAAGAGGAGCAAGATTATACTTATGCTCCTTGTGCATGAAAGAGTAATGGTTGGTGCGGCCATTGTGGTTTTTTGCTCGGTCAAACTGCCATGGCCTGCCGAGTATTAGATGCCCTGCTTGCATTGGCACCACGTCACAAGTGACTTGATCATGGTACTTACCAATACTAAAAGGCACGGATACTTGCTCGGAGATCTTGAGCTCGGTTTGATTGTTTAACCACCTTAACTTGTAAGGGCGATGATGCTTTGTCTTCTCAAGACATAATCTGTCTAACATGTACTTGCTAGCCACTTTAGTACATGAACCACCATCTATGATAAGGTTACATACCTTTTTTTTACGGTACATCTAGTGTGGAAAATGTTTTCCTTTTGGGTTGTCTCCTCGGGGTGAACAAGAACACTTAGCACTCTGCGAGTTACTAGTACTTCACCAGTATCAGGGTATTCAAACTTTTCATCTATGTCATTAGAGTCATCTTCTTGCTCATCTTGAGACTCGTAATCCCCACTTGGTGTGATGATCATGACTCGTTGGTTTGGGCACTCCCTTGATATGTGATCCATGCCTTGACATCTAAAGCATGTTATGTCATGAGTTCTTGAGGTATTGTTAGAAGACTTATCTTGCTCAGCTCGGTTGAACTTGGGAGCCTCGGCGTTTTTGCCTTTAAACCTTGAGTCAATCTCCACGGCTTTGCCCTTGTCTACTGGTTTAGAGCTGCTGGTGTTCCATGTTTGATTCGTATGGTTGCAGTTGGTGAGAGTTGTTTTGCGTTTGATTTGCTGCTCCACTTGCACGGCAAGATGCAACAAATCGTGCAACCCATTGTATTGAGCTCTCTCCACCTTTCTTGTAAAAATTGTGCCATTAAGGCCTCCTCCGATTCTTTTAACTCTAGTGAGTTCATCAGCTTCTAAAATTCCTCAAAATACTCATCTACACTCTTGTTTTCTTGAGACAACTTGCGAAAACGGTTTTGTAAGTCTCTATGATAGTGTTCAGGCACATACCTGAGTCGTAGAAGGAATTTCATGTCACTCCAAGTTATGAACGGTCCAAAGTGTGGCCTTCTTCTCTCGGCCACGTTTCTGTCCCACCACGCCAATGAATTGCCAGTGAGCTGTGCAGCCCCAACAGCCACCTTCTTGCGTTCAGTGTAGCCATAGCACTCAAAGATGTGCTATAGTCGTCTCCCAATCGAAGTATGCTTTGGGATCAGATTTTTCTGCAAAAGTGGGAGGTGTTAGTTTAAGATCATGAGTTTGCTCTCGAGTATCTACTACCCTAGCTGAATTTCTCCTTAGAGGATCCTTTCTCCTCTGATGTCGATGTTGAAGAGGGTCGGATGGGAGATCATCCTCCAATCCTGGCATCTCTTCATCATCACTTGCTTAACCAGCTGGCACTGGTGCTCCTCTAACCGGGTCTCTCCTTGGTTGTGCTTCAACTCGGTCGATCCTTGCTCCAAGCTCTTGACGTATGTAGCCCATTTGTTGAGTCATGTTCCTCAACTCTTCCCTCAACGCGGTCATCATTTGAACAAGAGCATCGTTCGGAACTGGCTCTCCATCGGCCATGGTGCTAACTAGGTTTTCTTAAATGTCCTTGTACTCACCAAAAACAACAAAAGATCAACGTACCACAGAATAACAAGGTCAACAACTCTCTTACAACAAACTAGCTCAACACTTAGATAAATTAAACAAGCCTTTTATGGGGTTTTCGATTTTGGAGATTTTAAATGAAACTAAAGACAACGGTAGTAAACTAACAATGCAACTGATTTTTTTTTTACTAATGAATACGCAAGCAAACGCTAGATTTTTCTAGGGTTTTCGGTTTTATGAATCTAAAGAAACTAAACGAGTGTGAACAAAACTAAAAGGTGCAAGGGATAAAAACCAAAGGCAGGAACCTTGGGCTCTGATACCAAAATGATATAAAACTCTGATGAGGCTTATAAGATTGCGAAATCGATGGCTTGGTGGGATCAACACGCTGGCTTTCATGCTCTCTCGTGTGGATCAGTGGATGGAGATGGTAAGACAAGACTTGTTTCCACAAGGCTTGAATCGAGATGGGATTTGTCAAGCTGGCTTTGACTCTCTCTCTTGAGGGATCGGTGAATGGTTATGAAGTGGATTGAAGGCAGCACAGAGATGATGTGAGGATCTCTGATACTGCAAACTTGTCTCTCGGTGAATCACACACGCAAGAACACAAGCAAAGACTCTCAGCACAAGCTAAGAGGAAAACATCGTTATTTTATTGATATGGTAAAAAGTGTGTCTACAACAGCTGCATGTGGGAATTTATTAATAGTCCGTCAGCTTTGAACCTTCTAGGGTTCGACTCAATAAAAGAAAACGGCATAATAGACTGAAGACAACAGGACTTGTAAAAAGTAAATAAGAATAATGGCAAGACGTCTCATTTGGACACAAAAATGGAAAGTTCACTTAAACTAAAAAGAAAATAAACTACGTGCAACCTTTCCTGGACTTGAACCGATGATCTCTGAGGCTCTCTAGCGTGTTATACACCACTAGGACACTTCCATGTTACCTGCACAAATCGTATAAATTGAAAATACCTGGTTATGGCCGGTTATGAGCTTGCTTGTTGTGAGGTTGATTAAATCGCGTTCCAGTCCATACAGCTTGTTAGTCTTGATGTATTCTTCATCTTGAGTTCTGCTAATGTCATGTCTCGTGAATTCTTTAAGTATCTTAATGTGTCCAGCTTAATGTCCTTCCTCTTGTTCCATTTGCCCTTTATCGGCTTCATGTCTTGAGATTGTTGTATCTTGAAGCTCCGAAACGGTCTCTTCGAGATTCTTAGTGTTACGAGCTCCATTTCCTGCCATTAAACATGTATACCTTGCTTGGGTCGAGGCTGGTCTTCTTTGAGGCTCAATGATAACTTAGACTTTTCAAGGCTCTAAATGAGGGGTTATCAATCCATTTTGTCACTTTGCAGTACAAAGGGTATCAATCCATCATGTGTAGACACTAAGATGCAGGATCAGTTCTTAATTCAAGCCAAATGAGTGATGTTTTGGTTACTAATGACAACTAAGAACTTAAAACAAGAATGAAAACTAATGATCAACTTAAACAAGCAAGTAAGTAAGCTAAATGAGATGAAATTGTATGTATGATGATGAGAAAGGTCTTAGACATGATAGTGGATTAGGGTGCCTTTGGTGCTAAACTAGTGAGCTAATGAATCATGTGATCAAGCAAACCATTCAACTTAAACATCATTAAGTAAGCTAATCCTCTCATGAAGGCATTAACATCTATGTTAAAACAGTTTCCAACCTAATCATCATTAGTGAAACATGAATCAACAAGCATTGAGAACCAGTTTAATCTGTCATTTAAGCATATAAACAATCATTCCCATGATGAATAATACTTAAACCTCTAACAACCTTGGTTCAGGCATTTCATCAAACACTTTTGGTGCATGAAATACCCAGAATCTAGACCACATATGATGTATATGGATCTAGCATAGAGAATAAGTTGTAGAGAATGGAATATGAATGATCTAATCCCTAAACTCACTAATCTAACACCTAAGCACCCTAATCTACATATCTAAGACCTTAATATGGGGATTACTCACTAATCATGCTAATCTCTCTTAAACCTTTGCAAGTTGAGAAGATTGGCATGATTAATGATGCGAAATGTAGATGGAGAAGATATATAATGATGAATTTGCAGCTTTAAACACAAAGATCTCTCAAACTCTCTTCATTAGAACTCTTAAAAATCGATAATACTCTTCTCAAAGGGGAGTCTTTCACCAAAGAGGCAAGAAACAAAAAGAATAAAGCTTCAGTCCTTGGGGTAAAACCCTAAAAAACTATATATAGGTTCTAAAACGAACCGGGTCAACCCGCAACAAACCGGGTCCTGACCCGGATTTAATGGGTAAAATGACGAGTGTGCGAGTTGGTCAGGAGCTTCCCAAGTCGCATGCCCAAGTCGCACAGCCAAAGAAGCAGTCTTGTGAGCCTTAAGTCCTTTAGTTTCAGCCGCATGCCCATCTAGGTGTGTTCTGCGAGTCTTTGTGCGATTCAGTCTTCCTCCTCTTCAACTCGCATGACCAAGACGAAATCTGGGAATAATATGTGTGCGACTTGGTCCTCCTTTAGTCCCAAGTCGCATGCCCAACTCGCATGATCCTAGAAAGAAGCTTCAGCGAGGTAGAATCTATGTAAGCCCAGCCGCATTACTCTCTCGGTGTAAAACGCGAATCTTCATGCGGCTCAGTTCCCTTTTCTCCTTAAATCGCACGACCATGTAGCAGGAGCCTTCAGAAATATGTGTGGGATGGTCTTCATCACTCCCCAGTCGCATGCTCAAGTCGGTGTAAATTGCGAGTCTTCATGCGGCTCAGTTCCAAGCTTGGCCAACTCGCATGCTCAAGTCGCACGCTTGTGGACTTAGTATTTTTCTTGCTTGGGAATCTTAGACCTTACCCAGTGTTACCTTACTTGCACATCTCAACACGCAGCTCAACCCCCAGACATTAATCTCCAGGCATTGCGAGTTAACCAAGTCACAAGACTATCTCGCAGGCTTCAGGTCTCCTCGGACCACTTCACATTCGTGGGAGAGTAACTCCCAGGATACTGGTCCAAATGGCGCGATTCTAACTTCAGTGGAAATAACACTCAGATATCTTCAACTTTTGTGAAAGAACCTTCGGCGCTTGGGAAGTGGAATGTTCCCTGGAGGGCTCATCTTCGCAGTGCATTGACACGGCCAGAAAGAGGCTTCTAGACATGCGTCCATTCCAGAAACGTTATCTTCTTGCTCATAGCTCCAAATTGAATGTTATCAAACTTTCTGGAAATAGGACTCAAATATATCAAATCTTGATGAGGGCCCTCTAGACTGAATCGGTCTGGAAGTGCATCGTCCTTCGCATTCTTCGGAGCTCATCTGGTCGGTCCAAAACAGTAGCGAGACAGGCGTGCCTTCCGACGAGCTTAACTCTCTGATCACGCCTCCAAATCCTATGACTCCACCTGGAATCATTATCCAATCCTCTCCAACTTTGGTGAAGCACCCGACAGCTGAATCGACCGGCAAAACCTTCCGGTAACGCGATTTCTGAAATGTGTTTGTACCCAGAAGTTTTGGCCGAGAGACCTTAACAGCGGTACGTGTTTTGGCCGAGAGGCTCACTCGCGGTACATGAAAATCGCCGAGAAAAGTTCCCTGCGGTACGTGAGAATCGTCGAGAACCTCCAAAAACCCATTTTCACCATCTTTCAAGTTCTGATCGCCATTTCTCTTCCTGGTTTCACCTTTTCAACTCCAAATAGCTCCAAATACACCTGATAAACACTCCAAACATGCAAAGACTCATTGGGACCTAATGCAACTCCTAAGCCCTAAAACAACACCTAAGGACCTAATATGCATGAGAAAATACATGATTTGGAATGAAATGTACAACCTAAATGATGCAAATTATGAACATATCACTCAAACGCACGAAGCCTTCCATTATGTCTTGTTCGGGTGCTTTAGGGCTGTCTCGCATGTTGTACTCTTGTGAACCGGTTTTGAATGCATCTCCAAGCTCTATGGTGTTTATTAAAGCTTCTATGGCCAAGTTGAACCTTTCCCTCAGCCTCCTTGCTTTGGAACGAGTCACTGGTGCTTCTTTGAGCTCGGGAACATGTGTTTGGTTTGATTCTGGTTCGATGACCTCATCAGTGGAGAAAATATATTATAATAATAAAAATGGATAATCATTATCTATTTTATAACACTTACCTTTGATTATCCATCACCGCCGATATATCGCGTACTGCCTCCTCGTTAAAAACTTAGTTATAGAAAATCCAGTGGAATAAAAACCATGAAAAATAAAAAAAAGTACAGTGATGTAATCTCTCTCATGGAAAGATGAATCTTCTTCTCTTCATAGATCGTTGATTCATCTTGATCTCGTCGATGTAATAAACTATCTTCATTGGAATTATATATTCCTTTTTAAATACATATCTTCTTGCGTGTTCTTTGATGCTTCAGTAAAAACCTTGTTATGGAAAAATCCAATGGGACAAAAACCATAGCAAGGAAAAAATGTATCCATGCGTATTCATACTTCTTCTGGAAGTTCTCCTCTTTATATGTTTATCTTTGTGCGTTTTCTTTACTGCCTCGTTAAAAACCTCATCATGGAAAAACTCATTGGGATAAAATCATGAAAAGAAAAAAAAGAGTACAGCCACGCATATCATTACAATTCTTCCCCTGGAAACATCATCTTTAGGAGATGCATTCCAATTATATACACCATCTTTTTGGGGAATCTTTATATGTAGAGTGTTAGTGAACAAATTCGTATGATCGTCATTCTTGGATCCTTGGACTTTGGCCCATAGTTCGAGTTAGTCATGCTCTTTTCATGAAATATATTATCTTGACTTTCCAAGATCTCTCATTTCAAACCCTTTTTTTGATCAATGTAACTTGACCAAATAAAATTTCTCAGATGCTTCAGGCATCATTGATCCTTCTGGAATTTTAATCAATACATTACT